CTTTTGGCCTTTATGGGCTGCTCTATGTGTACGAGCGCCTCACCTGGACCACCAAAGCAAAGGAGAGAGCTTTCAAGAGGCAGTTTGTGGAGTATGCTGGGGAGAAACTGCAGCTCATTGTCAGCTACACGGGCTCAAACTGCAGCCACCAAGTCCAGCAGTGAGTTCCCTATATTCAGCTAAGACCTTGTGGAAACTCTATTGTTTGGGATTTTTTTAAATGCTATTCCTTGTTAAAAAAAAAGATAACTTCATGCTGAATTCCAGATTGTTAAAGATGTAATTATAGATATTTTAAAATAATATTACTTCTATTTTGACTATGTACTGTTTGGGTGCTGTTAGGCATTAGTCTTAATGTACTTCCATGTCTCAAATCAAAGTGCTCTGATATATTCTTGTGCAGAATTGGAAAGATGAGCGACTAAGTCATGATACCATCATCCCTATACATCAAAGGAATTTATTCCTTGTGAATGTGCTGCTTGATCTTACTTTCCATCATACTCAACTCTTCTTGTTTCACAGAGAGCTTGCTGGAACGTTTGCTCATTTGTGTCAGCAAGTGGATGTCACACGGGAGAATCTTGAGCAAGAAATTTCTGCCATGAATAAAAAAATTGAAGTTTTGGATTCACTGCAGAGCAAAGCAAAACTGCTCAGGTGAGTTTTGATTATTCCATACAATTGTTTTTCATGTGATTGCCCCAGGATGTTCATATGAGCTGTAGCTTAGAGTTCATTCTGTCTTTATCATATTACTTGATGTGCAAGTGTCAGCTCTTTTCCCCACCAAGTCATGTTCCCTTTCACTAGGTACTTTCCTATGGACTGTTGATGCTCATTTAAAGCTTCTGTCTCACAAAACCTTTTTCTTCCTTGTTTTTATTTGTTTGGAATTACAGTTCCTTCCCTTTTATGAAAACATACAATCTTCCACTTCTACAAACTCCTTCAGGCCCTTATAAAATTAAGCAAAAAGTCTTGCCTTCACCTTTGTATGCAGGTGTCTGCTGCTTTCTTTACCCTGCAGAGGCTGTTGGGAAGACTTTTTCAAACATTCCTAACCTACACAGTAAGACCAATGTGAAGTTGTGTCCAAGATCTCTGTTTGAACCTCAAAGCTTAGGGAGTGGCAGCAGGCAGGCATTCTTGATCTCCATGAAATGGCAGCAGCCTTTTGCAGTGAACCTCTGGCACTCCATGCCTTGCTGTGTACTTGTTTTTGTTGCATTTCTTTCTGACTTGTCTTGAGAAGAGCTGTTCCATTCACCTAACAAAACTTTCTGTTCTTGCAGGAACAAAGCAGGTTGGCTTGACAGTGAGCTCAACATGTTCACACATCAGTACCTGCAGCAAAGCAGATAGTGTGAGAAGAAGAGAAAAACAACTGTTTCCCTTCAGTGCTCTCTTAATTACTGCAGAGAACATGGTGGGTGATGGAATTCCCTAAAGGGAATGAGCAAGAGCATATTGCTGTTTCCAGTTGCTGTGTGAACAGTAGGATTCTGCTTCCCTGTTCTGTGTCCCACCTCTAAACACTAGCTGTTCATAGCTCTTCTTTTTCCTTGTGAGACCGGGCTACTTGAGGAGGAGTGTGTGCATTTTGCTTTACACAAATACAAAGCAATCAAGCAAATTTTTATCAGGTTAAAAGTTATTCTGACACATCTTTATGGAGTCGTTTGTTTTACTTCATAAAGACAGAACTTTTGACTTGACAGCCCCAGGCTGATGTATGCGTGACAAGCAATTGTTTGAGTAAACACAGATCCCATGCACACAGATGTGATGGTGGTTTCACAAAGCAATTATAGCCCACACAGCTTTGTCTCTGAGGTTAATATTCCTTTATTCTAGAACAGAAAATCACAATGTCCCTTCATAGAAAGGTTTATTGTTCTCAGGATGCTTAAACCTGTTAACAAAACCCAGTTCTCTTCCGGAGCAAGTGGGACTGAGATTTTGCTTTGGTAAGCTTGGTGAATTTGGAGTTATTTTCTTCCCCTTAAGAGCTCTTTAATAACACAGTCTGGCCCGTTTCCTGACATGGACAAATATTTTGCAAATACAGAACTAGTTCCTGTGAAGGAGATGGTGCTGATAATTTGGCAGCTTGTTGAGGAAGAAAACTAGGAAAGAGAAGCCAGTTGACACAATGTAAAACACTGCATTATGAGCTCAGTTGATGAATGTGGGTTTTCTTTGGAAAAGCACAGCTGTGTTTCTGGAAGCAGGCCTGTGGAATTCCATTACCACAATTTGACCACAAGAACAGCATGTGGATTACACACTGTAAGAGATGTTGCTTCATGTAGAGTTCCCACAGGATGTTACAGCTTGGGCAGCAATAGGATTTGATGTTTTCCTTCTGTTAAAAGTATCAGAACATGCTGGCAGGTACAGCTTCTCTGGGGTGGGGGGAGTTGTGGCTCTTGTAGTTCATGCCAGGGCAAGAATGGCTTAAAGCAACTTAGTTTTTTTTCCCAAGACATTCTTTATTTGCAAATACATGAAATTAATTGTTGAGTTTTGCCCTGATGTATTTGGAATGTAATATTTGGGAATTGAAAGGACTTGAGTTTCTTACTGTTGGAATTGATAGAGAAGAAATTCTTACTGATATTAGGACACTGAGTAAGATTAAGTTCCTCTGTTGCAAGCTTCTTTTCCTCTTTGTGGGTCAGTATTTTGCCATATGTTGGTTATAATCTTTTCTGTTGCCTACAAAATGTTTGAGGAATCCAGAATCAGATCCTGTAGTTTTGAGGTTAGTGACAACCTAAATCTCTTCAGCATGACACACATAGAATATGGGCTGTCTTTGAGCAGGTCCCAGCTGAATTCAGAGCTACTGAGCAGTGGGGTGATTTTCTTATTGACAAAGAGACTTTTCCCTTGAAAATGGCTTTAGGATTTCTCATTCACACTCGGGTGTGAATATATATAATGTGCCTGCGTTAAGTCCCATGTTTTTCATATCAGTTCCAGAAAAAAGCTGCCTGATACTTGAGGGAGTAAAAATGGTGAAATGTCAGTAAGTACTTCTTAGGTAAGGCTGTTCTGGGGTTTGCAGGAAGACTTGAAGTGTCTAGATTCTGTAGGAGCTGGTGGTGAGACACTTACATCCCTAGAATGCAGAAAGGAAACAAACCTTTCCCTTCCAGTAGAAAGCTTTGACTCCCACTCGAGCTGAAAAGCTGTTTCTATCAGAAGGTTTTTTTGACCTTGACTGGGTTCCTCAGGCATCCACCAGGATGGGAATACAGATTTGATCAATTCTGAAAATGAGCAAGAAAGAAATTCGAGTCCTTGCTTCTGGAAGTGTGTGCTCTGAGCTTGTGGTGAAGTATATTTGAGTAAGTGGAATCATCTAGTCTTAATCTGCTGCAGGTCTTGGTTGAATAAATTTGAATCTTTAGTCTCTCGAGCTGTCACATACACAGTTATAATAAGCTATGTTCTGTTCTATTGAGTTCAAATCTTAAGCACATCCCTAATACACATGAATGTTGTCAATTCCAGGTCAAGGCAGAGGATGATGTACTATTGCTCAGCAGCTCACGACTACTTGAAATGCTGACCTTGCTTTTGAAGAGGTAGTGTTAGCATCTCTTCAGCAGGCCTTTAGGGGAAATCTGATAAATGAGCTGATCTTTAAGCCAGTGTCTTATCTGTGAAGGGAAGAGAGATTGATGAGTTCTTAGAACCCAGTGTGTTGCTGCTGTGTGTGTGTCTGACGCTGCTCAGGCCTGGGTGCTCTCGGCATTCTCACTGCAGAGCTGAAGCCTCACCTACAGAATGGGGGAAAGAACCACTTGAACTTTTTCAGAAGCAAAGCTGCTAACATGTGTGGGTGTAACCCTTGTCCTGGTAGCCCAAGTGATCGAGAATCAAACTTTTAACAGACAGGCCTATAAGCTGGATTCCTCTGAAACAAATTACAGCTGTACTTCTTTAACTGAGAGTGGTGGAGGAATGAACACTATCATGAGGAGTTTGTTCTCTTCTGATTTTCATAAAGAATGCTAAACTATTCTTTAAAACAAGTAATTCCAAAAACAGTCTTCCCCAAACTCCCATTAAAGAAGGTCAGCTAAATGCACTTTTATCTTATTGCTGCTACTTGTTTTTCCTGTTGCATTATGTTGATGGAGCTCTTCGAAATACTCTTACCAGTGAGTTTTCTCTGCTGTATTTAAGGTGATAAATTTGCATGAGTTAGTCCTGTAACAGTGCTGTAAACAATGGAATCCAAAATAAAAATGAATTGGAAAAACATTTCTTCTGATGTGTCCTGCATGTTGTGATACAGTCTTCCAGTTTAAGTATAGAAGCTTACATAACTATGTATAGCTTTGTTGCTTTGTGATACTGAATTGCATGTTTGACACTAGTGACCTTTTGAAAATTAACAAGGAGACCAATAATACTGAATTGCCTGATAGAAAGTTTTAGTTGCACTAAAATTGTCAGTATTGAATCGATGATTTCTTGAGAATATTGTAGGAAGTAATAGTGAGTGACTGCTGAACTGTGGTGGATCAGTATCCTCAGCTGATAAGTTACATCAGGTGGGTTAGAAAAGGGCGTATTTCCCGTGACAAGCTGTCAAAACAACTCCCTGTGGGCTGTGGGGGTGCTGGATCGTGCCAGGGCCGTGTCCCCAGCGGCTCCCCCGCCTCCCGCAGCCGGGCCGGGCCCCGCGCATGCCGGGAGCTGCGGGCGGGACCGCCCCTGAACGGCCGCGCCGGGGCCGCCCGGGGGAATCCCGGCGGCGGCTGCAGCGGGACGGGCATCCCCCGGAGCGGGACGGGCAGCCCCCGGCTCCCGGCGGGCATCCCCCGGCTCCCGGAGCGGCGGGGGCCGTGCAGGTGGGCCGGGGAACGCGGGGACTGTGAACGGCGCAGCCCCGCAGCCGCAGGGCCCGGCGGGACTCGCGGTTTCCCCGCGCTGCCGGAGCGGGAGGCAGGGAGGGGAGGGTTCACCGTTCTGTGCCGGACCGCCTCTTGGAGAGGAAAGCGGAATTTTACGATGCTTGGGCTCTCCTGGTGACCATGGGAGGGCCGAAGCAGCGCGGCTGTGCAGCAGCACTGTGCAGTGTTGAACGATTCCTCGCAGGGAGGGAGGACAGTTCTCAACTCCCGAGACAACCGTTGTTTATTTCTAACTGCGGAACGCCAAGCTCCTTTTCACAAAGGTTTCGAATTAGTGCAGTTTCATAAACCTGAGTTCCCTGGGTTGAGTATGAAGGACTTTGAGATTATGCCAAGAGTGGACTTCATCTGGTAAAACCCTTCCAGAAAGTCCCTTGGCTGATGTTATTTTCAGAGTATTCGCTTTCTAATGAGCAATGATGAAAAGATGCTCATCAAAGCTATTGGATTTGTCCTGTGAAAGCTGTAAGAACTACTGGTTTTTTTCAAATTGTCTCAAATTAGTGCCTCAACACTGATATTTCTGTCTTCTGTTCTGTAGTGCACCTCTCTTATTTTTTGTAACAAAGAGATGTTGTAGTTTGTCGATTGTTAGCACTGCTCCTGATTCCTCCCACTGCTGCACCATATGTGCATTTGATTCCTTGTGTCCAGTTGCCAAGGTAGCAGACACAAACACAAATCAGATGAGCTTTGCAGGTTTTGGGGATCCTTTAGAACAAAAGATCCCAGAGAAACACATAGTTTTCTTGAGAACATAATTTATCAGTCTAGTCAAAAGCAATGTGGGAGTTTGGGTTTAGAGTTTGCAGCTGTTTTATTTAGAAACCCACTTTCTGCAAATTTAGAGGAGCTTGTGATGTTGTAAGGGTATTGAACAGTTTGACAACCTTTCAGTCAAACTCAGCTTTATTTATTTATCTGTTTATTAACTCATTTTCACCTCCCTCTTCTAATAAAACGGCATCCCTTTGTGGGATTTAATTTAATTAATTTGTGGGATTGGAATTGCCTGAAGTGTAGTCCTGAGTCGTAGTTGAGCCTTTTGGAGCCTTTCTGCCTGGGGAACATGGAAGACAGCTTTGATTCTGTATTTCTTTTGGATGTTGCAGATACATTCATGTTAATTACTTATGTTTTGAACTTATGAGCATCCTTATGAGCAGAATTGCATAAGTATGTCCTAAATAACAACGTCTAAACCAAATGTCTCTTATTTCCCTCTTTGATGTGAATTTTTCATGTTTACTGTTTCCTCTGTCAGAGTTTCTTGTCTCTGTTAAGTCAGCTCCCAGTTTCCCAGCACAAAATATTTGACAGTATATCCAAGGGGAGAGAAGCATCTCGTGGTGCTGGTTCTGAGCAGGAGTTTTGAGACTGGCCTATTTCTCAGGAGCAAGAATCAACATTTCAACAGCTGTAAGTATTTTTTAAGAAAAGTCCCTTGAAAGTGGTTTCACCTGTGTCTGTTTCTTCACTTAACGTAGTGGATTTATGTAGTTCACTCTTCCTCTGGATTTATATTAAAATGTTTTTGTAGGATGGACTTTGAGCTCCTGGAGAGGCTGCGCCAGGCCAACCAGGACCTTCTACAAAGGCTGAGAATGAAGCAGGAAGAGATCAGAAAAGAACTTCCCAGCAAGCAACTCCTTCTAACATCTCTTCATAGCAGTACAGCTGCTGACAGATGTGTCCCCTTGCCCAGGAGAGTGGTATGTGTGGTGTCTGTGCTAGAAATGCAGAGAAGCAGATGGGCTTTTATGACAGACAGCAGCTCTGCCTATGGTGTGGTCAAGGAGACATATGGGCATTAAAGAGCTCTTAGAAAGTGGTATGTGGAATATGGAGTCTGTTAGAAAAGTAGATGCCCTTTGGTTATTGTTTAATCTGTGGTCTCAATCTGTTCTTCTGGCAAAGGGTTTGGACATCAGTTCCTACCTAAGAAAGACAAGTTTCTTCTTCTAAGATAGGAGTGAACATTGTGGAACAAAATCCTTTTGTTTCTTCTAGGCTGAAAGTTCAATGGTTCCTCAAATTGGAAAAAGCTACATTTAGCTGGAAGTGGATCTCTTTCTTATACTCCCTAGAACACGAGGATTTTTCTTTTTCATCTGCAGGAGTTTAAGGGTGTGAGCAGACTAGAATGAGACATTGATTTAGTGAGTGAGATGTTCTTATGAAAGGTGTTTGTAGCCTGACTGATGCTATGTGTTAAGAGAGTCTCTGTCCTTACAGGAGGAAAATCAGGTCGATGCAGTAAAATCTACAGCTGACCCTGGAATAAGGGCGTTGGTGGAACCCAGAGCTGGCCCAGCCCTCAGTTCATCTGTTAAACACAGCAGCAGTGACAGAGGGGTACAGGAACAACAAGCAAAGACACAGGAAGGAGCAGATTTGGATTCCAGCTGTCCTGGGAAAGATAAGAATGTTACACCAGTGTCTGCAGTCGTTATGTGTGGCAGAGAAGTCACCAGAGTGGATGGGGATGGCCATGCTCAAGGAAGTCCAGAGAAAGAATCCTCCTTCCTGGGATGTAGAGAAATCAGAAAACAGTCTGGTCCACTTCATAGTTCCCATGAGAAAAGTCATCCAGGGCCGTCACTGAGCAGAGTGCAAAATAAAGAGCCCAGTGAGCAGCATGTGAGCATCAGAGAGCCCCATATCCCTAAATCAGTCCTGCTGACATCTCGGTCCAAAGAGTTGAAGGTAAATGTTAAACCAGTGCTTTCCTTATTTTCCTAAATCAACAGAATGATGGGGAGGAAGGGCCAGGAGAATGTTCCCTGCCCTGTTCCCAATGTGTAAATTGGAAGTTGGGGTCAGAACTCTTCCCAGCTATGGCAGCCAGGGGCTGTTGTCAGTTTGTTCAGGCCCTGCTTTCCTCAGCCAATGAGCTGAAAGACCAGAAATCCATAACACTTCACTGTAAAGTTCCCTGTCTTTTGCATATGTCACCCACATGCTGAGGGACAGCAGGCAGCTGCAGTGCTGCTGCTCCACAGTTGTCCCTTTAGGCATGAAGGGCAGGCCCTGGCTGTGATCATCCTCCAAGGCAGCACAGGTTGCCAGATCTTTGGGGATGTGCACTGCAGTTCAGCATTTTGTTTAAAACTCAGAAAAATCCTGCCTTACTTGGGTAAATCCCTGCCTCTTTCTGTTTTATTTATTGACAAGAAAAAGGGCTGGTGAGAAAATTACTGGTAGATGCATAGATAGAATCCAGTCTCAAACTAAGCCACAGCTGTCCCATCTGAACCAGCTGCCAGTTGTCTCCTCAGCTGTACCTTTGAATGTCCTGACAGATAATTAGGAAATCTCTATGAATTATTTTCTTTCAGAAGGAAGCTTCTCATGTGACTTTTCAGCCTGAGCCTGAAGAAGATGCTATACCTGTCAGCAGCTGGTCTGCCCGTCCTTTGCTGGGCTATGACTGGATTGCAGGTGAATCCTAACTCTGAAGCAAAGCTTTCAGTGTGATTTGGTGATATTAAATCAGTTTATGACCCCTTTGAGGTCCCAGGAAAGGGGCTGCAGCTTTGTTTGAGTCTCCACCTCACTAGAGGTGACCTGTGCTTACCTGGAGTGGTGAAGTGGCAGTGGTATGGGAATCCAGGCAGCAGATGCAAAACTAAGTAGGGTCTAAGGGATACCAAATTCCTGGAATGAATGAATGCAAAAAGGAACCCAAACCACAAAGTGAATCTCTGGCTTGAAATGGTATTCTGCCCTTCTCGTTATCATAATTTTGTTTTGACTGTATCTTGTGAGGCTTGCTTTGGTACTTTCCCAAATTTTGTAAATCATTGGACTTTTTTGTTTCCTTGGTTCTCAGGGCTCCTTGATACAAAGTCTCCAGTAACAGAAAAACCTGAGCAATACTTTGCTGAGCTGCAGGAATTCCGACAGTCCAACAGAGAGGCCTGCATTCATCAGCAGCAGCCGGAGTGAGTGGGAATGGGGAAGGGCTGAAGCAGCAATGTTCAATCCTTAATAATCCCTGTAGTAATGAGAGCCAGAGTCTGACTGGAGCAAGACATTGCAAGTATGGCTTTGAGGGGTTTTATTTACCTCCCAGTCATGTGTGCTTGGAAAAGGCAGTGCTGTTCAGAGGGCCAGCCCCTCTGTCACTAACTGATTTTTTCATGTGTTCCTTTAGGCCCAAGACTCTGGATCCACAAGAACTGGATTCGATAGCTGGTTCTCATAAGTGTAAGATCATATTTCTTCCTAATGCAATTTCTGTGAATAAACAACTAAGCAGGCTTTACCTCTCATCCTGAGAGAGCACCACATCAAGCAAGACCAGCAAGAATGTGTTATTTTCAGATGCAGCTTTAAACTAGATTCAGCTTCCTGCTCCAAAGATAATCGAGTCTTCTAGGGATCCTCTCTCAGTGTAATTTTAATTTGTCAGGGTTTCTTGTTATTGGCTAATGTTCTGTTTCTAAATTGAAGAGGTTGAAGTTTTGGTTTTGCTTTTTAGGAACTTACTTGGGGACAGGAAATGTGTAAGATATTTCAGGAAAAGCAGCTCTTTTTATAGAAAGCAGGTGTGGCACTGTGGTAGAACACAGCTTTTTTGGCTGGCTTCAGGGACCTTGTGACAAACAAGAGCTGTGATGAAGGTTTGTTGCTCTGTGCAGGTGTTTACTGTTACCGATTGAACCGGCGCCTCTTCACCATCCCTGTGGATTCGCAGTCTGCCTGCCCTGTGTGTAAGATCCCCTGCACCCACCAGCCCCCGGGGACACTGCAAGAGCCAGCCTATGTCAGGTAAATAAGAATTACTGCTTTGTAATATGCACAACTCAAGGAAACAGTAGGGAAGGAAAAGCTGATCAGGTAAAGGATAAAAGACCATGACAACAGTTCTGTAAAAGGTTGCTGTTTTCATGGCAGAGATCTCTTAAATGCTCCTTACTGATCTTTTCTATAAGCACACATAGTCTTGAAATCAATGAGAAATGCATGTTCTGTCTGAATTTGGTCCAGAATCTGAATGTACATGTCAAGTGTCTACTCCCCCAATCCAGAATGGCTCACTTGGTTCACTTTGGGGTTAGACTCTTGGATTCTAAGTGGGAATCCTGCAGATTCCCTGTGCCTTGGCAGAGGTGTAGGCAGTGACTTCCCTTGTGTGGTTGCAGGGTCAGCATTCCCAGGTCTGTCCTTTTGCCAGCCTACAAGTACAGAGCCCATCGCAGGGGGAGCTTTGAGGCTGCAGATGATCTAGCCCTGCCTTCGGTAAGTTGTGATCTTCTGTTGATGGCACAACCCCAGCTGGTCCTTGCTTACAGCAAGAAAGAAGGAGAATCTGGGACTCATTGCCTTCCCTAAATTTTTGATATGGGTCAGTGAGATAGCCAGAACATCCTTTGGTGTGTTCTGGGTTCATGCCTTTGTGTGAGTGACATAAAGTGTATGACATTTCCAATGCTTTACACTGCACAAAAGAAAATGCCATGTGGAGCTGTGTCCTTTTGGGGCAGATTTGGCTGATTTGTTTCAGGCATTGGCCTCTCACACTAAGAGTGCCTGTGTTTGTTTCCACAGATGTTAAGGAGTCTGAAAGGCAAGTGTCTATGAAGTATTCACAAAATCAGTAGTGGCAAGGGTTGATTTAAAGCTGCTATTGTATTGCTGGTCCTGTATTCCAGCCAGTAATCAGTGATGCAGGCAGCATTGCTAATCTAACCTAGCCCAGGCCTAGAGATTTCCAGGAAAGAGGTGGGAGGAAGCTCAGTTTGGAGGCTTAGGGAACTGGATGAGTCAGTTGAGAAAGGTTCAGAGGGGTCAGATGCTTGAATTCATGAAATGGGAGATCAGTTAGAAAGGTGGAGGAGACGAAAACTGTGTAGTTCTCCTTTATGTGAGATTTCATTTATTTCCTATTAGTCATATAAAACTCCTCAAAAAATAAGAGATTAATTACTCACTTAAACATCCTTGTGCAGAAGTCAGTTCTAAATAATAACAGGCCACAATAGATAAAAAAGGGTAAAGCATTCCCATTTTTTTCTTCACAGCATTGCCTGGCTGGCTGGGAAAACATGGTCCCTTCCAGCAGGGCCCTGCTCAGCAGTTTGGATCTGAGAGCCTCGTTGGAAGAGAAACCTTCTCCCTTGTCCTCGCCTGGTAAGCACAGCTTCAGAGTCCCAGGAGATGCTGAGAATTGCTCAGATGGAAATTGCAGCCCCATGTCTGAAGCATGTGATGATATTTGAGGGCTGAGCAAACAATGATGCCTAGAAGATTATCTCCTTATGGCTACTGGGAAATGTTTTCCTTCTGCAGATGGGTGTGTGCAGAGACAAAAAAGCAAATGAAGCTGAATAACAGGCAAAAGCCTGTTCAGTCACCAGTCTTCATCAAAATGGGAGAAGTCATTTTGGCATTCTTTGATTAATATCCTCTTTATTTGGATTCCAGGGCTCGGTGTCCAGAGTGTGAGGAGAAGCCAAAACTGACAAGTTTCTGCACCTGCCTCACTTGGCACAGCTGAGGTTTAGCAGAGCAATCCAGGACCCCAGGCTCTCAGTTCAGACCCCACTCCCTCAACACTCTGGACCATTGACTTGGTTGCCCTGGGGAAGAGATGGGCACAGCACATGGAAACAACTCAGAAACAAAGCAGTTTGCATAAAAAGAAATCTTTGGACAGATTTTCCCCAGTTTTCATAGTCATGTGTGGATCTGAGCAACCAATACACAGATCTGAGTTTGTCCACGATGTTCACTTTGCATTTTTTTGCCTTTTACAACTACTTCTGAGCAGCTGCATGAGCTGTCCCAGCTTGGGCTGGATAAAGTCATGTGTCCAGGATCAGCAGTGTATCTGCCACCTCACCTGAGTAACCAGCAGTGTAGCATTAATTCTGAAGGCCAGGGTGAAGAACTGGCCTGTGACAGGCCTGGTTCAGTGGAATGACACAGATATGTTTATTTCCAAATACTTGAAACATGACACACAATTTTCTAGTGCCTTAAACTTGAGTTCCTCAATAATTTATAAAAATTTTAAAAATCCAGTTTATTCTCAGTGCAATGTATGTAGCTATAGAGTGATTACATCAGACTAACTGAACGTGAAAAAAAAAGTTAAAATGAGATTTTATTCATCAATGAGCCTTAAAATGTTTGCAAATTTTACTTGCCTCTACTTTTCCAAGTTTTCTGGAGATAAACCAAAAAAGCATTTTTAGAATTTTTAAATTGCACCAAACCAAACTACTACACATAGTGTGATTTGTTTGAACTTTATAGACTGATTTTACTTTGCTTGTCTGAAAACAATAAAACTGATGTTTTATTTTGCTTTGAATTTTCTGAAACAGAAATTCCTGCCTCAAACATATTTCGGGGAGCTAACTTGAGAGAATTAATTTGGTTTGTGCAGCTTCTTGGCATTCACTTACTTTTATATCAAATACAGTATTTATTAAATCAAGTGCATGAATAGACTTTTTTAAACAGGGAGAGGAATATTGCAAGTTTATGAAATCTAGATATAAGACTTGGAATGAGAAATGAAAAGCATGACTTTTAGCATGACTTTAGTTTTGGGTTATATATCTGTAGGGTAAAGTGAATGGAATTGGTCACAATTTCCATTACTGGAAATACTAATAAACTAATCTAGTGACTATAGAACACTAGATGCCAAATTTTATACAAAACAGGGTAAATTCAACATTTTACTACCTTGCCTTCAAACTCAAAACGTAAGACATCATAAACCTTTTGTTAATTTATCCTGAAATCGATTACAAGCCTGTTCCACACTGTAAACAGAGCAAAGGTAAAGGTGGAGCTTCAGTAACCTGGGTTAGATCTGTCCTGGATGCAGGTTGGCACCAATGGTGAATTCAGAAAGTCTCTTGGTAGATGGGAATACACTGAGATTTTCACACATGTGAAGGTATTGGAGGTGTGATTCTGACACCCCAGAACTCCCAGCTGGAACAGCTGCATGTGTCTTGAAATTGCTTTTTGAATCATTTGCAAACTTGAATTCTGGAGGCTTTAATCTCTTTGGAACTTGTGTTTTCAAAGCCCATAAGAATTTGTTTTTTAGAGTGTCTCAAATTTGAAAACACAAGAGAAATTCTGCCCCTTCTCTTTGGAATCAAAGCCCTCAATTTCACCAGCTCCCTGGATAATGGCTGACCAAAACTAAAGGTTTGATTTTCTCCCTTCCATTGGTTTCTACAGAGCAAAACTGCCCAGAAAAGGAAAACAACACTCTAAATTGTTCGGGCTGAGATGCTCAATTAGTCAAAGAAAAGAAGTTTTACAGCCTTTGGAAAAACTACATCCTGAAAATCTTCCCATGTGATTCTTTCACAAAAATTATTTAATATTTCCCAAGTTTCTTTTGCTCGTGTCTGCAAAGGAATGTTCATCTGGGTTCTGTTACTAATTAAGCTTTAAAACTCAGCTTTTAGATGAGGAGAACCAGAATATCAAGAAAGACCTTTTGGGTAGCTCATTTCCTGTGACACTATGGGAAACTAATGAGTCCCACTTCTGTGTTTTAACCACCTGTCCAGTCTTCCCCAAACTTTTTTATTTTCAATTTGGGATTAAAATGCATAGAATTGGAGCTCTTGGTGCATTTTCAAATTGCTTCAGATTTTCTATGGAAAATGACCATGTGTAACTATTAGCACCTTTCCAGAAGCAGTACTGAGAATTGCTGAAAGTACAGACATGATGTGATCTCTCATCTAAGGTCATTTCTCCCTCCCTCCCTCTCTGTCTCTCCCAGCCTGTGGGCACAGTAATTCTGTGATATGGTTTTGGTTTCTTTCATGGAAGCCACGTCTTTCTTGAGAGAACTGAGTCCCCTGTCAGCTCTTCTCATTTTTCAGTCTGACTCAAAATGTACTTTAGTTTTGAGGCTACTATGGGGCAGTAAAAGACATTTTATACAGACTTTTTTGTTACATTAGTTATTTTATCCCTTTATGTAAGGCAGTAGTGTTAGTTGAGATAATAAAAACAAAGGTATAAGATTTTTTTTATCCACGTAAAATCTATCTAAATGCCATGTAAAGAAGTGTAAGTGGAAATTAAGACATTATCTTTCTTATTAGCATAGTAACCCTTTTTTTCCCCCAACTGTAACCCCTTTTAAGCCATTGCTGCATTTTAACAAGTGTGCAACAAGAGCTTTAAACCATCTTCATTGTTGATCACAATGGACAAATGTACCAAGGTAAATTGCTGAATCAAAGCAGCTCTCAGATCATGTTCTCAAGAGCACCTGCAGTGCATTTAATCCATTAAAGTGACAATTAAATGGATTGACAAATATTTAATACTAAGAATGAGATGTGTAGGTGCCAGCAAATACATATCAGTACCAGAGGGGCATAGAGGGACAGAATTTTTCCAGTCTGTGGCACAAATAATGTTCTATTTCTTCTTCCACGTGCAATTTCAAATTCTGTGTCAGCTGCAGCCACTTCAAACCCCGGGCTGGCTGAGTGCTGGATCTCAGGGAGATCCCATTGCACTGGTGTTTCTCTCCCTCCTGTCTGTCCTCTTTGGAAGGTGGAAACATTTACTGAGAAGTTCAGTATGTTGGCTTCTCTTACAATGCCTAAAATCATCGGGATCCTGTGTGCTGTTAGCACAGTGTTATTATCCAGGACACCCAGGAGCAGCTCTCTGATGGCTAAAATGCCTAAATAGATCAAGAAAGGCAGCAAGAAAGTAATTCTTGGCTTTCTTCCTCTCTTCATTTCTTGCTTTCCTTCTTTTAATCATGAGATTCTCTGCACTTTTCATTGCAGGAAATGCCTTCATTTCTCTTCTCTTTTTTAATTTGTACCCCTAAGCTATGTAGCATGTATCTCAACCAGCCCTGATATTACTCCTGGGGCTCCTTGGGAAGTTTCAAGCTCTGGCATTGTTTCATCTGGCTAATGAGCAAGAATGGGGTGATTTTTTGTCAGCATACTGCTGATAAAATGCTCCTGAGCTGTTTCACTGGTCCTAAAAGTACAAGCCAGACACAGTTAGGTGATGATAGGGGTTACCTTTATAAGGATCTTTATACAAAATACTAGATGGAAAGTGCCAAAGAGGCACATGTAACATAAGGTGGATACAATTTTTATGTGTTTAGCAAATTAGCTAAACCAGAACCTCCAATTAGAGGCATAGGTGATGAAGTAACTCCTCGCTGGTCCAACCCTTTTATGAAACCACCACCTCTTATACAGGAACTAAATTTTGTTTATGAAAATGTGTCTCAGAGAGCTGGTTTCAACCTTGGCTCCCAGAGAGCCTAACCTTGGACCCCCAGGGCTTGGAGCCACTAGGGAATTAATTTTGTCTTTCTGTCTAATATTGTGGGTAAAATGCTGGCTACAAGTACAATAATAGACTACAGAGCTACAAATATATATGTAAAGAATATAGAGACTATATAAAGGCATCACTCTGAATAGTAACACTAACAGGCACTGAAATACAGATTTTAGACCAGGTATTTTAATACGTTTCATTTTAAATTTCATGGTCTCTTTTATCTGTCTGACAGAAGTTTAGAGATGACACTTCTCGTGGTGTTTTTTTCCTCTTATACAGCTAGATATATTAACTGAACAAATTTATGTAAAGCAGAAGAAACCATGGTAACAGTAAAAGATGAGACTAAAATCAGCTACTTCAAAACTAGAAAAAGTAATGGGTACTTTTGCTTGAGCATGTGTGTACCAATGCTCCTTCTGGAGTATTCCAGTGCTGTTTCCTTGGCTGGGCTCTCACTGTTAGAGCACAGTGAGCACACATTGCTGAAGGGATGTTTGGGGCATGTGGTGGAGACTTTCCCTTTCCTTGGTCGGGTCTCTGCATTCTCTTGCTCCAGATATCAAGTGGCAGTTGGACAACCCCTGACTTACAGGATGTTTTCTGAATTAGGTGAAATAGGAAATGCCAAGAAAGTTGTCTGAGGGCATCACTACCTTTAACACCTAAAGCAGAAAGTGATCCAGATGTCAGAGACAAATAAACATTATAAATAATAACAGCATGCTCACAGGAGCTTCCCCGTTTTTCCTGACAGACATTGTCCTTTGATGGAACACCAAATAATCAGGGCTTGGTTATTTGCTTCTATTTGTTCTGTGGATTTGTTTTTTTCATATTAACATAGGAGATTATTTTCTAGGAAATAGAGCCACCATGTAAATGAACATTAGCGTGGGTTTTTGTTATAAAATGGAGGTGCTCCTTCCGGTTACTGGTAAGGCTTCTTTTGGAAAGCCCCTTTTATTGTATTTGAAATCAAAACACACAAAGTCTGAAAAAAGGCATTCACTTGGAAATGCATACAGGCTGCAATGTTCCTGTGGAGCAACCTCTTCACCCCCTTTATTATGTAGCTTTTATTACATACTTGGAATAACATTTTGTCATGCAACAGCCTTTCTGAAAAGCCAGCAGCAACAATAAGCACTTTCCACTTCCTATCCTTTTAAATACTTAGTTCAAACAAGAAGGAACTTAAGAAGTTCAAGGAAGAATGGCAGCTGGAAAGCCCAGTTTCACTTTGGATGTGTAAGTGGAGTTTTTCTTCTGAGGAGCACCCTGGAGCCTTTCACTCAGTGAGTGCCACAAGGAACTCGTCCCTTTATCCAAGTCATGTGGTTCCATGAACCTTTGTAACACCTAATGGCACTGCTGTCTCAGACAAATTTCAGTGAAGTTATCCAATGGGTTAAAAAATTACTGATAACATTCGTTAAAAAGGAACGAATATACATATATATAAAAAATGCTCAGTATGCTCATTTCAGTCTTACTTCCTCTGGAAAACAGGCCAGAAAACTTTCCCTGGTGCCAGTTCTGGGAAAGTCTTTTACACAGATTTTTGTACTCGTGTAAGTAATTGTTGCATCAGGAACTTAGATTTCAGCAGTGTAACTTAAACCTTCCAGGCTCTCTGTTACGTTGGTGCCTCTACTTTTGATAGAAAACTTGGATAGGGCCTGATAAGGAAAAAAAAACACAGAGGGAGGAAAAAATACAAACAGATCTCATCAATTGTCCTGACTATGATGTCATTTGAAACTGCATTAATAAATCGGGAGAATTGCCTAATGGCCTATTACTACACAAGATTAAGGTTCTAGCCCAGTACTTAATTAGGAAAATCAAGAATGTAATAACCTGGCATTGAAATTCTTTGTTGTCTCTAGACCCATAAGGCATGCCCACCCCGAGAGCTTCTGTAGGTAAGAGAGCAAACCTGGAAACTGAGCAGTGCCCTGGCAGAGCAAAGAGAGGAGAGTCCTTGTGTGTCACACACACTGTGCAGTGTGCTGAAAATGCCTGGGGTTTATGTGATGGCATTCTGGAGAAATAAATAGAGGTGGTTAAAATTGTTACAGCTGTGAGTTGAAGATATTTACACAGGGTCCCTGTGGGATGCTCATCTTCCCTGCTTGGTTGTGATGGCAGTGAGGAAGCTGTGAATCTCTAGTAAAATAATCATTTATCTGACTTTCAATATTTTCTCATTTCTTTTGGTGTTGTTGATAAGGGTGAGAAGCAAAGGAAAAGTAACCCAGAGGTGTGACAATTCAAATTGTCATTATTTTCCTGTGTACCTCAGAGGGTTTTCAAGGCACTTTGTCTTTTTGAAGTGGCTAACCTCCACTTTTGACAGTATTTCTAGGGCAGATAAGGAGGCTCCATGACATCTTCAACCAACCGAAATATTTCCAGGCATCAGAACAAAAACCATCCAGAGTAACAAATGAAAGTGAGTGCTATGATGAGTATCAGTCCTAGGGATGATTGTCATCAACAGGAATGAGTTTCTCTTGGGATTGGAGGAAAGAGAAGGTTTCTCAAGGGGAAGGGCTGTAGTATGTTGGTGTTTTAAGTGGCAGTGTGTACAGCCTAAATCTGAGAGGAGTCACCGTGGTTGATTGTGATTCTTCACCCACTCATCTGAACAGGAGTAAAATGACTGTACTGAAAGAATTAGTGTTTCTTACTGGGAACTTCCTTGAGGCTTGGTTGCAACTCTTGAAAAAGTGACAGCTGGATGGGGCAGGGCTTGGACTTGTGCCTGGCCAAGGCCCTGTGGTGGTGAAGTGCTCTCTGAGGGCAGCCCAGATGAGTCAGGAGCCAGTGCACAGCCAGCCCTGTGCCTTAGGTGACAACCTTGATTCTCACGACTCACAGAAACTGTCAGCACCAGGACCAGGCATTGAGGCAGTTTTGTTTTGTTCTATTTTTACTTTTCTCTTTTGGGGCAGCCCCCCTCCCCCTTCCTTCTAAATTGTTTTCTCAGCTCAGTTGAGTCTCAAACCCTATCTCCTGCTTGTCTTGAACAGCTGGAATGTCTCCGGACTGCATGAACAGGCAAGGAGCATGACTTGGTGGGACCCTGGAAGGGTCTCATCCTCCAGGAGGAACAACCCATCTGTCTCACCTGCAATGCTGGGAGCCAGGGACATTTAACACCCCCTCAGATGGCTGCCTGCAGCCTGCCTCTGGGACTGTGCCTTCTGCTGCTTCTCCAGGACGTGCAGACAACCCCACAGGTAAGGCAGGGGACACCAGGGTCCTGCAGCTCCTCAGGACACAGGAGCCTGGTGAGGTCTGGGGGCACCTGGGGCTGCAGAGCCATCCTGCCCTTCAGCTGGGTGTTGGGGTGGGTGCCCACAGAAGCAGGGTTTGTGCAACACAGAGGGATGAAGGTGCTGAGCAGAGCTCTTAGGAGATAAAGGCATCAAGCAGAGCAGCCAGGAGAGTTTCCCTCTCTGGGGTCTTTGCAGGCAGAAATGTGGGATGTGAGCTATGATCTGCATCTTGCTGGCACTGCCAGAGCTGCTGCAGCTCCAGGCACATCACATCCAGGGAGTGAGGAAAGGCTTGATAGGGATGGGGGATTTATTTTTGCCTGCATGCTCGGTAACAGGCACATTCCTTGCAGAGCTTGGTTCAGAGGGCTTCTGCCACTCTGCTGATGCAAGTCAGGAGGGGCAAATTGAAAGGTGTAGAGGCTAAACAATAATAGACCTCCCTCTTTATACCCCCCACCCTACTGACATTGACTTCTTCATGAATCCACTACTATTTCTGAATCAAAATCACTTCAAATAGGCACAGCCCACTAGCTGCATTCAGTTCGTGCTGTAGGTGCACACCAGCTCTCTGTTCTGATTGTATCAGTTCTTGTGGGTTTGCTTCCACTCCACACTACCACTTGCCCCTCCTCCTGTGGATCAGATGCAAATGAGCCCTCAGCACCTGGCATAAATCCAGGTGATTTCCCTCACTGACACTTAAAAAAAACACATTAAAAAAATAAAAAGGTCAGGCACAGAGAGATTGCCCAGGTAAAGTCAAGTAGGTGAGTATTTGCATGGGGTGTTGGATGGGAAATGAGCCATATTCCCTTACAGTGCAAATACAAATATATTAGCCCGAGACACCTGTATGTATATGGCAACTAAAAAATCCAGCACATCACTTGGGCTGCTGGATTTTTTTACAAGACACTGACTCCAGTTAAATCTTTGTAAATAACCAAATTCTGTTCCCTCTTCATAGACATTTGAAAAAGATCCTCCTGGTTCTTTTGGTAAGAGTAGGAGTTTGCTCTTATGTCTTTAGTTGTAAATTCCCCTCCCACATTGCAAGTTTGCTTTACTTTCTCCAGGTCTGTCCTCCCACTGTCTGTTTCCTGAAATCCAGAGGGATTCTATGTTCTATAGGATTGGAGTCTGCAATCCTTGCTCACCACAGGAATGTTTGGGAGGGCATTCAGATAAGCCTGTCCAGTGTGCTGAATGCAGACTGCTTTAGGAGAAAAGCCAACAGAGACAAAAAGATGTTACTTTTTCTCTTTGACATCACTTTTGGTGGTTTGTTCACAAAATGAATGGGACAGAGAGAAAATTTGGTTGTCTGAAACTCATTGTCAATATTCAGACTCACTATAAAATTATCAGTTACCTGGAATGAATGCATAGACATTGCTGGGATAAGCAACTGGCTTTACACTGTCCTGCACTGCCTCTCTCACAGCAACACTTGCTCTTATGCTAATGGAGCACGAGTGAGTGTCTAATGTGAGCAAGTCACTGCTTACTGGCCATATTTTAAAACCATGTTCCATTTTACCTCAGTCCAGACTCAGTTTGGGTTTTGTTTCTTTTTCTATTCAGAGAACTCTCACTTGTTGGTAGTGTCTTTACTATCAAGCAAATGAACCTTGACTCTTTGAAGTTGTATATTATCAGCTTTTTCTGTATGGTCAGAATTTGGATAGAAGCTTGACAGACAGTTAACTGTTTTGCTGCAGTATTAGTCAGTTCTAGAATATCCACTGCTGGTAATTTTTTTTTTTTTTTTACAGTACTATGCTTTCTTCCTGACTTACAGCTCATTTGTAGCAAGCTGATTTCTTACTCTGCCTCACAATCACTTTTTCTCTATGAGTTCAAAAAGCCATAAATAAATGAGTCAAACCTTGTCCTGACTGAATTGCAGAGTAGCCCACTGAAATCAGCACCACCTTTACAACTGCCATTATTTCAATTGGAATGGCAAACATTTTTGTAGAAATAAGGAAAGCGAGAAGAGCTATAAAGAGCCTATTTTCTAAAACAAATTCTCTCAAGCAAGTGTTGAAAAACCCAAATACTTCTGATCTGTATGTTTGCTCTATTTAATTGGTTCTTGATCTGCAATGCAATCAGAAAAAAAAAAAAAAAAGTTGACTTGCTGAGTCAAGCTCTAAACCAGTGCATCCCTGTGCACGTTGTCACAGAGCAGCCCAAGCACGATAGGAATTGTCACCTTTCCTTTCACAAGATGTGTTCCAGCTCCTGCTAAATCCAAAACCTTTATTTGAAGAGAAAGTCAGAGAGGAAGATAAAGACCTACTGTTCTCCACAGCCACATGCCTTACTCCAATATGTGTGTGATCTTCCTTGAATGTTAAAAGGTTTTTTTAATAATACACATTAATAAACAGAAGTCTAAGCTGTAATGACAATAGCAGAAGTTATTGCCATAAAACTGGTACTTCTTCATCGACCCCTTAGAGAATGTTGGGGACCTTCCTGCTGAGTTAAGAGCAGAACTTTGCATCATTGTGTTGCTGTTACAGGTCACATTAGGAGTCGAGCAGCTTTAGAATTTGGAGGGAAAAAATGACAAGAGTGGAGGCATGGTGACTGATGCTGAGCATTGCCATGAACGTTATTTATCACTGAAAGGATCTATACTCATTTTTATACTCATGAAACACCTCTACTGAACTTACAGGCATTTTGCTTATGGATTAGAAGCAGTGGGGTCTGCAGAAGGTGATTTCTCAGTCACAGACATCCTGTGATTTGTTAAAGTGAATTCCTTTCACAGCAGAGCACCTTGGGTTTGGCTCAGTCACAGTGCAGGTGGCTACAAAGCTGTGCTGGACACCTGACAGCAGCATTTGCTGAGGAGCCAGGGATGACCTGAATAATGTGGGTGGCTGTAGTGCAGAGCTGCCCTCCTGTGGAAAGGGGGAAAATGAGGCTGAGTACTCTCACATGTGTATCTGATCATTTGTTTAGTATGTAGGCCTAGTTCAGGCAGTGATTTATCACTGCACTACCATCAGGTCAAATTCATAATCAGAATGTGCACTGCTGCAACCAGGAGCAGAATCTAATAATAAACTCCTGATTTTCATATTCTTGGCAAGGTAACTTTTTAAAAAGCTGTTCTCTCACATTTTTTACACAGACACTATTATTTTATTTAAACCCCAAAACAGACAAATAAGCTGAAAGATTATGTGCTGCATAAGTAATTCAGTAATTCAAAAGTTTGTACTCTTGTTTAAAATTCAGCTTCATTTGCAGCCAGAGTTGGTTGCCCAGGAGAACCAGGAAGAAAAAATTAGATATTTGTGGTGACTTCCCACAGCTCTTGCAGAGAAACTAATCCAGGCTGACTTAGCTACAGCCAAGATGCTATTGCTTTTAAATTTTCTTTATAGAAACAGTTAATTCACTAAGTCATGACTGACCTTTTGTGTGCTGACTGGTCATTTCCTGTTGTTCCATCTGGGCTGGGCACCCTGCACACAGATGTCAGCAGGTACCACTTCCTTTTCCTCCACTCTGGGGCTTCCTCCTCACAAGAGGAAAACACCGAGTGCACCTTTGTGAACGTGCTGTGAGTCAGGCTGAGCAGGCAAACTCCTGCTCCTGCCTGCACTGTCAGCCTCCAAACGTGCTCGTAGGGAAGCCCAGGGGCTGTAGTGCACAGATGTGTCAGAATTCTCAGTTCTCTTACTGGAGCTCGATGAAATTCAATGGTTTCGATGTGTTTCTATTTCTTGTTCTTCTGTTAATTTCCTCCTTGACTCAAAGTTCCTGTTTTCTGGTGGAAGTTAAATAATTTTTATGGTTTGTGTGTATTTCACACTCCTTTGTGAAGAGAGTTAGGTAGTGAGATTCTGCACAGTGCACAAAGGCAGCAGGTCATAGCAAATCTTATTTCAGAGACCAGTGGGAAATTCATCAGCAGAAAGTGAGATGTAGAGTTTCTGAAACATTCGACTGCTCTATCAGTATGGTGTGGGAAAAACTCTGGGGGATCTGCTTATCAGTTCTTACAAAAATAAAAAATCACTGTTCATACCTTCTAGTAAATACTGAAAATGAAATTCAGATAAAAATATTTTTAGGGGATTCTTAAGGGCAGTACCAAATTCAAAAATCAGATTTTCTCATCAGAGCAATTGTAGCACTGTAATTTCCCAGAGCATGTAGAGGCCCAGCCATACAAAAACTAAATCTTATTACTAAATCTTATGTGCTTCTTGTTACAAGTTGTAGCTGGGTCTCATTTTGTAAGCTAAATTCAAAACTATTCTATGGGGTTTTTTTTAACTAAATAAATATGTAATGATGAAAGGTTATTTTTGAAAACCTTCACTCACAGCAGAAGTGGGATCAGTTATTTGCATAAAGGCTTCATTGTGGGAGTATTTGCAACATTCTTTTCAAGGCAAAATGTCTGTAGGATTTGTCCCTAAATAACATGTAAAATAATTTCTTGGTTTATAATAGACACTTAGGTTGCTAAATTCAAACAGTATGACTGCATAAGAAACAGAAAACTTGTATGCTGCAAACAGGAATGACCTCTGTGGATTACACCAGGTCTGTGTAGATTTAGATGATGCTGAGTCTGGTATCACCTCTTCCTGCAGTGCACACAGAGCTGCAAATCTGTTACAGATATTAGAGATACTGCTCCTCTCCCTAAAAGAATTCTTAGCTCCAATTAACATGAAATCATTTTAGGACAGTAATTTTTATCCTTTTTTTTTTTTTCATTTGGTAGCTGCTGCAATGTTTCTAAAGGAAATGCAGACAATAATTTAGTTGCTTTGGGGATGCTTGAATTTTCCAGAAGCTGTGGGCTTTTCCTTACCATGTGCAACTGCCATTGCTTGACACAGGCAATGGGATCTGCTCTAGCACAGAATTAGTTGTTTTCTAATTGTGTTTTTTGTCTCTTTCAATTTCCAGACATCATTAACCCCACCTCATTCCTGTGGTAAAGTAGAGAATTGGTTCTATGATGAAACTTCACAAAACTGCTGTTACCAGTGTCCCTCAGGTACGTTTATAATTCAGTCAAATTTACAATGGAGCCCTTCTCATAGAGCCAGTGGGAAGCCTGTGCACCTGCAGAGCTGTGCTTTGTCCCTGGAGAAAAAGGCACTTTCATGAATCACTGTCTCATGGGGCTCCAGATGTGAATCTCTTCTCCACTGTCCTGCTCCTGTGTAGTCTGCATGCAAACCAGATGATGTGATAGAATTTATATGGAATTTTATCACTTCACTTGACACTGAAGTAGCCAGGTCAAAGAATTCATGTCAAACTTGCCCCTGGGTGTGAATTAGCACAGTGAAATTGGGCTAAATGAGTTTCTTCTCAGAGATAAAAAAATACAAAATGAAGGTATGGAAAATGTGACATTATTCTCATAGTCACAGCAGTTTAGAAGGTGGCTCACAGGAGGGAGGGAACAGACCCTTGTCAGGGGACACATTAAGCTGTGCTAGAGGCTGGGTGTGACTCAGGCACATGAGGTCAGCCCCAGGAAACACCTTGGTGAGACAAGAGTTCTGTAAATGTCTGCAACTGCCCCATTGGCCAAAACCCCCTCAGTGGATGGGTATTTTGTGGTACTTCACCACCATCTGTATCTTCTTGCAGAAATCTTTTCCTTTCGTTTTTCTCAAAGGAAATTTCTGACCTGTATTTGTGTTCTGATGATACAGAGGGCTTTAGTGTTTGATTGCCAGCGTTTGCATCCAGTTCCATCAGGATTCCCACTGGGACATCCTGTGCTGCTCACACCACTTGAGTCCTTCAGAAGTTGTAATGTAAATCAGAGCAAGGGATGGAGAAAATGGCCCAATAAAAGAAAAAATGGGTGGGCATGTGACTTTGACAGTCCCAAGAAAAGTAATTTTCTTCTTCAAAACCACACTTTGCTAAAGCTCCTTTTGGAAGGGATGTCACAGTGAGGTTGGTGAGAAGCAGAAATCTGATTTTACATCAGGCTGTAAAGGCCACCAGTGTCCCTCAGTTCACCTTTGCTCATTCTTCATCACTACATCCTCATGTCAGTCCTGGACTCCTCCACAATCAAAGTTACAAGAATCATTTTCCACCTTAATCATCCACTACTCCTGTTCATAGCTGCTACTAACTCACTACTCACTGCCAAGAAAGAGGAGCTTTGCTAAAAGTTCTTTTGATCAAAGGAAAGAAAGAAGGAAACACAAAACCCAGATTCCTGAGAGCTTAATAATGGTCCTCATGGAGACCTGGTCACAAATGATTTGCCATCTGCCCATTCCACAGCAGTCCATTCCAGCTGGGATTATGTCCTGGCCCTGTACCTTAACACTTGAATGGGAAAGCCAAAAACATCCTAGAGAAACCAAATGATTAAGAGAAGACTGTGGTAATGTGTCTAACAGGCAAACAAGCAGACAATAATATTTCAGGATGGTTTTCTGCCCATTTTGGATAGGTATCTTGTATATTTTGCCTTTTTTTTCTCCAGGCTATGTTAAAAAGAAAGCATGTCCTCAGGATCCAGCTGAAGACTGCATGACGTGTGGACCTGATCAATATTTGAACAATAAATTCCCAAAGCCACAATGTGATGCCTGTGTGTCATGCTCAAAAGGTTTGCTTTCCCCCCACATCCTCACAGTTACATTCTCTCTCTGTGTATTTTATTCATTTAGAATTTCCACAGCAAAATTTTCCATCCTTGGTTACTGAGTTGGACAGCAGAATGTTACCTTGCACATAATCCATGTTACTTCCTCTGTGACCTGGGATTACCTTAAAATTTTCCCTTCCAATGCTATCCCAGTCGGATTTCTGCTTTCTGTCTTATATTACAAGCTGTTATCTACAGGCTTCTCTAATTATTCATGACTTAAATTACCATCGTGGGGCTTTAAACTGAAAGGTGGCAGGTTGAGATTAGATAATAGGAAGAAGTGCTTCCCCTGTGAGGGTGGGGATGCCCTGGTCAGGTTACCCAGAGCAGCTGTGGCTGCCCCTGGATCCCTGGCAGTGTCCAAGGCCAGGCTGGACAGGGCTGGGAGCAGCCTGGGACAGTGGAAGGTGTCCCTGCCCTGGCAGGGGTGGAATGGGATCAGTGGGAAGCTCATGTTCTGTTGGAGAAGACGAAAATGGAAAACCTTAAAAATACGATTGCCTGGCAAAAGATTTTGAGAATATGGAAACTATAAGCAAGATCGAAATGAAAGCCATCTTTGAGATACCAAACCTTAGTTAATAAACAACAAGAAAACAATAGTATGGCCAACTGAAAACAATCCCCTCTTGACTGAACAATCCCCTCTGCTTGCAGACAGGTCCAAGGGTCAGAACAGACACTACTAGCTTGGTAAAGAGGGTCCAAAGAGTAGTATTTAGGGTTTAAAGTGTAACACAGTATGATAATTTAGTGATTCTTATAGGCTGTATGTAAATGCTATAGGATTTGTATCTTGTATTAGATTGGTTAGTGAGAATTAGAATATTCAACACAGAAGAAGATTTATTGTATTGTAACGGGAACCTTGCTCTCTTATACTCTTATTTTTCTTACTGCTCTTACCTCTCTTATGCTCCTACCTCTTACCGCCCTTACCCCTCTTACCCCTTGCCCTCTCTTTACTCCTTTTCCTCTTGCCCTCCTGTTCTCACAGGCCTGCTCTGAGCTGTGAGCTCCAAGCAGGGCCCTTTCACCCACGCCCTGCAATAAACCATGGTTTGTGCAATAAACCATAAGTTCCAAACCCTGGCTTTAGAGATCTCTCACTCCCGACCGCCTGGACCCCCAGCTCCTACAACCTTCAACCCAAACCAGGCTGTGATCATGAAGAGGGACAACACCTTTTTCTCCTTCCTGACCCTTAGAACTGGAGTTGCTCAGCTTTGTCCCCACTCTGCATTTCCCTGGCAAGGTGCTCCTTTGTCACTGTTTGTGTCACAGAGCTGGACCTCGTGGAGAAGCAGCCCTGCTCCCTCAATTCCAGCCGTGTGTGCGAGTGCCGCCCCGGGCTCTTCTGCCAGCTCTCTGTCCAGAACACCTGCACACGCTGCCAGCACCACTCTGCCTGCAAGCCTGGCTTTGGAGTCAAAACCAGGGGTAGGAGTTCCTACCTGTCCAGTTTTACCTTCCCTGGTCCTGGCCGTAGGCCTGCACCTCATGATGCATTTTATTTGGTCAGTCCTCAGTCATTATTTTTATTCAGGCACCTCAACAAATGATGTCACTTGTGAAGAGTGCCCTCCTGGGACCTTCTCTGATCAAAGCTCCAGCACAGACATCTGCAAACCCCACACCAAGTAAGTCTGTGCTTCCTTAATGGGACTGACTAATTAATTGAAATTAATAAAGGATGAAAGAGGGTATTGTCACTTTTGGTACAAAGTATACAAGTTCATCTTTGAAGCAAGAGAATCGCTTTGGGCTCATGTGGAGAGGTAAGAAGACCTCTCTTTGTACCTGTTTCACAGCTCTGGGCTGGAGGAGCAAGGGAAGGAAGGAATCCTGCTTGTCTCACTTTTAGTTTACTAAGCACAGTGGAATTGCACACCTGTGTGAGTAGCAGCTTTGCATCCAGGCCAAGAATTAATGCCACAGGGATGAGAAGAATAATGACTTTTACACCAACAGCAATAATTGCAGTTGGTACAAAGATGACCAAGGGGATGTTTGTCACAAGGAAAACGCTTTACCAGGGCAATGACACCCTAATTTTTCATTCCCAGCTGTGCCAAGTTGAACAAAGTAGTGCTAAGCAAAGGAAATGCCACACACGATCAAGTTTGCCTGGAGCAGTTGTCCACTCACCTCACCCCAAGCACTTTTTCCATGAGATTCAGCAATGAAACAAATAACTCTGACCTGAGGATGTTTAAGGAGAACCTGGTGACCTCTGCTGGTGGTGACCTTCTAAGTGTCACAACAACTGAAAATCCCAGTTCAGCTCCTGAGGAAAAACCAGATCCTGGCACTTCTACCTCAGCTAAGGGTGAGGTGACAACAGGAGGTAACACAGACACAGCATTTACTCTCTCTAGCACTTTTTATTTAGAATATCTTTGGTAAACACAATTTTTATGTGGGAGCTTCCTGCAAATCCCCTCTGACTTGTGAAATTATGTCTATGGTCCTATGTTCAAGCACATGGATCTACTCAGGGTTTCCCCTCTGCCTTTTCTCCCTGTGTGTGGTGTAGGTGTAATGCTCTGGGCAGTGGTTCTGTCTGTGGCTGTGCTGCTGGGGGCCACGCTGATGTTTTGGAAATGGAAGGTTTGCAAGAAGCGGATTCTTGTCCTCAGAAGAAAGCGTGAGTTTTTCAAGCTGTAACACGTGAGGTGCTGTTTGAGCTGCCAAAGAGCAGATGGGAAAGTCAAATATGGGGATATTTGTGGAGGGCATTGGGGAAGAGAATGTTCTCTACAGGCCAGATAAGGGTTTAAGGCAAGCTGCTCGTGCAGGATCTTGGAGAACATGAAAGATGGAAGCAGCTGGGAATTTATGGGGGGAAGTGGGTGACCTACAAGTGGGGAAAGGGTAACTAGCTGTTTCTTCTCAGCACAGATACTGGTATTAAATGGCACCTGAAGTGTTGTGGGAGCATTTTTTGGTTCTGGGAACAGGATTGGGCTTTGAGCACGAGAGGAAGAGTGATTTTTTCTGACACTGACTCCCCAGAACTTTGCCTAGAGTTACATGTGGGGTGTGCCTGCAAAACCACATTCCCCCTTTTATAGAGGTGCATGTTGTAGGCTGGGTGTACATCTGTGGGTGTGGTGAAGCTGTTGGAGCCTTCAGGCTCCATGGCGAGTTTAACTAAATGAATGAAAGGTTTCTTTTATCAGCACATCTGCATTCTGTCATCGCACACAGATACGTGCTCAAGTCCCAAGGTGAGTGACTGATGGGCCGGCAGTGCCATCCTTATGTCTGAAGAATAAGTGGATAGCTTAAGGTGGGATTTTATTTTCTAGAATTTTAATTTTGAAAGTGGAAGTTTCTCCTGTCACATGTATGTCCGTGCTGCCACGCAAGAGGCAGGTGCGGCAGGCAGGGGACGCTGGATGTGACCAGGTGCCACCAGGTGGCATTTTGTCCCCACTGAAGGGCTGGGTGATGTGTCAGAGCTGGAAAACGCCCGATTGATTCCAGGACTGTCAAATACAGGAGACGTGTTCAGATCTGTCCAGATCCCATAAAGTGCTAACATTTTACCCATTAACTGATCCCCTCTCAGCAATTCCACTGCACGGACAGATTTATTCTCTGTTGTGTCAGATTCTAATCACCACACAGCAGAGCTTTTTATATTCATTCATTCATTCAGGAATGCAGTTTAAAACTTCTTGTGTGCAACTTAATTTTCTCAAAATGGAATTTTTTCTCCCTCACTTGCCTTGCACAATAGAAATTGTGACTGTGTAGCATTACAGAGCTGATGCTCTGAAAATAAAGGTGATTGCACATCAGGCTGACATTAGACAGTAGGTCTGAGCCCATCTGCCTTCATGGTGCTACAAAATGTTTTGCACTCCCTCCTTCTCACCCCTCTTCTTTGTCCAGTGTTCCCTGGGATCATTAATTGAACTGTGCATAAAATTCCACCCCCTTAATAATCATCTGACCATATGATGAACAGACCTAACTTGTTAATCCAGTAGAAAGCTATTAACTTTTTTTACTGTTTTTCTTTTTAATAAGCTTGTCTTGTGCTTATCTAGACAGTTTCATTAGTTCATTTTTTCATGAGACGAATACCAGGTGTGGTGTGGAGCCAAAAGACTTTGGGGACAGCAGGATCTCCCAGTCTTGGCAGCAACTTATTGCTGGTTCACGTCACAAGTGTCATTTCAGTGTGCCCTGAGTTTTAAGAAAACCACCCTGCATGTGGGGTGGGCAGTGGAGTGGTTTAGGGAGTACATTGCTAGGTGATCTTTCAGAGCATGTTAATGTTCTTGTGATTTATGAGGTTTCTTCTGATAATGTTTTTACTTTCCCTTGCAGGTTCAGATCTCATGAACAAATGTGCAGTAAGTGTGAACAATATTCCAAAACAGATCACTTTCCATGCCCAAGTAAATAATGTTATTTTCAAATGTCTGGTCCAAAAAGTGCCAGCCTTTTAGTTTGGACTTCCCTCTACAACATGTGCTCATTTCGGTGGGATGAGATGCATTAGGATGTGATATTTTCATGGCTCAGGCTGAGGTTAATGTGGTGTTAAATAATGTGATGCTGCCGATCTTGCAAGTGAGGGGATTTGGTGTTAAGCCATTTGTGGTAAATTCCCTGGGACAAGATCTGAAATCACAGGATGAACATCCCTTTCCTTCCTTCTGGGAGATCTTGGTGTGTCAGTCCCATTTTGTCTCGCTGCTCCAGTCACACAGATGGGATTTGTGCTTTTCTTGTCCCTCTCTCCACGTGCCCTTCCCTCTGCAGGATTTGGCATGGCTGTGATTTGGGTACACGGAGGGTTTGGTTTCATTCCTTCAGGACGAGCTCCTGGTGTTACAGTGCAGTGTGCAGATGAGCAAGGCAAACATCAGTCAACGTGGAAACAACAAAAAGCAGCTCCTCAGCAGTTTCATCACAGCTCAGTTTTATTTCCCCTCTGTCAGTGAAATTACAGCCCCTTTCATTCTCAGAGCCTCCTCAGTTTATTAGGCTTGTTACTTTAAATATCCAGATCTGCTAAACCACTCTTCAGAGCGTTAATTTTTTTTTATTTTTAAATGAGTTTACTTTTGAATGTTAAGTCTGCACACACACACAAGATACTGCTTTTTCTAGTCACCCTGGTTGCAATCAGCTGTCATAATTTCAGTGAGTAATTGTTAATTCCTGAATTGTGAGGAGTTTTAATTCTTGCCTCTATAGAGAGTCCAACATGAGCAAGGGTTATAAAGTGCACATTTCAAAATATTTTTTTTCTGTCTCAACTTTGTGGAAACAAAAGAATATCAGAACCACCAGAAAACTGTGATTCAGGACCTTTAGCCTCTCTCAGATTTTGGTTCCTCTTTTAAAGAACTGCTTGCAATTAATTCTTCATATTTTAGGTAGTCTGAGCTTGTTTCTTCCACCTGATGTTCTGCTGAGACAATTACATTTTGAAGTCAGTTTGGCCCCTGCCTTGCTCTGTTCTTCCATAGGAGCATGATAGGTATTTCCAAAGTCTAAGATGTAGCTAAAGCATATTTTCTTCAGTGGAAATGAGGTACATTCCTGAAAATATCATCAGAAATCTGTGAATTCAGCTTAGAAAGACTCTTTTGGAGTAGGGTCTTAAGTGATGCAGGAGCCTGGTTTGAAGTTCCCATAGCTGTGGGTACTTGGGAACATTTCAGTGCCAGGGACAGTGGAGCTTGGGAGAACATTCTGTTTTCCTGGCTGCCACAGGAGGGTTCTGTGCATCTGCTGCAATGTCCAAAGTGTTTTTACACTCTCCCCACTTCTGCTCTCCTGCTTGTATTGGCAGAACATCATACTGACCACTGACACTGGGCTAGAGGAGGAGGAATTAACTGAGAGAACCCTTCCTTTGGAAACCAACAATAACTTGGTGTCCAGCACAGAAAAAGCACAGAGTCCTCACTGGAGTGTGGCTGATGTGACACCAAGCAGTGGGAATGCCCCAGACTGCCCCGTGGATTCTCGAGTCAGAGACCACACAAATAACAGAATTGGTGAGTCTTGCTTTTTCTTTTTTCCTTTTGTCATCTTCTTTTTTCAAATTTTCAGACATGGCACATAATGTCATTTCAAGATTACTAATAAACTTCGAAGTGTCCAAATCTCCTAACAAAGATTGTGCTGAATCTCCAGATCTTTGACACCAAAACATCTATTCATTTGAATATAGTGCTTTCTTTTTTTGATGTTTCAGTCACTATTAATTTTACAGGAAATTCCCTTCTTCCTCCTTTTCATTCTAGAAGATGTAAATTTTACAGAAGAAATTTGAATATGTCAGCTGGAAGATGATGCTGTAATTCTGAATGAGAATCACTTAGCTATCATTTTCTTCTCTGGTTTCATAATAATGGCTTGAAATGTCTCTCATGTGTTCCCATAAAGTCTGTGGCCATGGCACAGGGAGGGAGATAAAGGAGCTCATTCACAGGGGGAGAATTGTTACCTGAGACCATCTGCAGGACACATTCTGGCAGTGCTTCCAAAGCCAATTGTGAGGTTATTTGAAGGTGTTGTTTTTCACATTACAAAACCTGGCCTTTCCTTACTAAACACCCTTTCTGTTTTTACTGTGAGTGATGGATTGGAGTGAATGTGATTATTTGATTTACCATATCCAAATGTCTCCAAGGAGTTGACCTGCAGTGTCTGATGTGCAGCATCCTTCTGAATTAAATGCAGTGGTGCAAGCCATTGAAAAGGCCTTAATTTACAAGACAACAGTTGGACCCAAGATTCAGAAAATTTTGTAGTTTATTCTCAGCTAGAAAGAAACTAATTTCTTTGCAGGTCCTAAGATCCCAGAACTTCTGTACAGTGCTGATCTTTACCCAAAGGTTTTTTTTACATGGTGTTGTTTCTTGAAACAGCAGGAGCATAAACCTTGGATTTTATATATCTAGATCCCAATTAGTTGCTTCTTCTAACAGATTCTTGTCAATATCTTCTGCCTTTTCCACTTTGTCTTTTTCCTGTAGTCCCACCTCTAGCTCAGTGCCTCAGTCCCATGGAAGCTCAGTCTACTTGATCTGAAATGCCCAGGGTCCTAATAAAAATGTTGCTTGGAGAAGAGCCATGTGTGGGGCAGCAGTGGCTGCTCACCATGCTCAGCACTCCTTTTTTCCTTCCTCAGAAAAACTCTACATCATGAAGGCCGACACTGTTATCGTGGGGTCTGTTTCAGAAGTGCCCAGTGGCAAGAACTGTGCTGTTAGAGGATGTGAAAGTAACCTTGATGCCCAGGAAAGCATGGAAGAGGAACTGGAAATGCACTACCCCGAGCAGGAAACAGAGTCTTTTCCAGGGAATGATGTCATGGTTCCTGTGGAAGAGGAGGGAAAGGAATTTCACCATCCTACCACTGCCACTGAGAAGTGACACCCACAGAGAGAATGTGGGGAGAATCATCCAGTGTGACACTAAGGCTGAATTTATGACAAGGCAGATAAACACACCGTGCCTTAGATTATTGGGGAACTTCTGGAAAACACTGAAACACATTCAAACAAGGAGAGCTAGAACCTATTTCATTTTCATCTAAATGAGAGGATCATCCAAACTGCTGGCCTTCATAGCTGACATCAAATATTTCTATTTCCCTGTCTTCCAGTATCATACTGAAAACAAATTTGAATCAAAGCTGCATAATTTAGAGGACATCTGGATGTCAGCTGAAGTTTCACAGCTTGCTTTCTCAGTGTGAAGTAATGGATTGAAATCTATATCTGATTACTTCTATTGGCTGTGAAAATTCTGGCCAGGATTCTGAGTCAAGCTTGAGCCATGTTTCTTATGTTGTTTCCATTCCGATACTTCCAATTTTGTCATATATTTTGCAACATCTGGTATTTTCTCAAGGCTTCAACTTTTGATTGAAAATGATAATAATCTCAGTTTTCCTTAGCATAAACATAACTCTCAAGTTTGTGGACTTCATATTTCTTGAGGAATTAGAATCAAAAGGTGCCACACAGGCTCTGAAAATAGAAGGCAAATAAAACTAATTGAAGTCCACTGTTTAGGCCATTCTTTCTAGGTTTTGAACTCCAGTTTATATTTTTTTACTATGTCAAATCATTAGTAAGTGTACAAAATACCCTCTTCTGATGGAAGCCAAACTGGCTGAACTTTTGGCTGTTGGATGAACTATGGGTTAAGCCCAATGTAGAGCCTGTAAAAAGAGAAATGAAGGAAAGAAACTCTTTTACTACTGAAAAAGAAGCACAGCAGTTATTTCTTATGAATTAATATCTACTTGTATTAGAATTGTTCATAATCATCAGAGTGACACTGATTTGCATATCCTTTAAAAAACAAAGCTGTTTGGTGGCCAACTGGCATGTGTTATGCTATTTTTAAACCTTTTGTGCTGCTTGTTTAGTAACTGTAAATGTAATAGTGCTGACTATACTTTTGCACAGGACAATGGAAAATGAGCAATATGAAAAATTGCGTCTTAACAATAAAAACCAAGGAACCACAAAACCCATTGCTTGCTTTGTAGTTTTGTCCTGATCAGAGCAGTGTAATAACAGTGGTGCAGCTGCAGCAATTTCTGTTTTAGAGCACACACAAGGAGCACAAGGGCAGAAAATCACCTTTTTGGGCCAGACTGGAACCTGAGCCCAGCATTTCATCTCTGCCAGTGGCAGGAAGGGATTAGTTAGGAAGATCATTCCTGCTGTTTGCATTTATCATAGTTCTGCATTGGATTAGGGATGTCACAGTTTGACTCAGCCTTTATTATTCTCTCATATCATCATCAGTTTTTCTTCTCTCTTTTGAATTTCCAAGTACTATCTGCCTCCATAAGCACTGTGGCAAAAGATTATAGATATCATACACTGTGTAAAGGACTTCTAACACTTTTAAACTGGCCTCTTTATTTCAGTGAATGTCACGAGCTCTTGTCTTACAGAAGTCAGTGAGTTGCTTTTTATTTTTCCTTTTTCAACCAAGTTGTTTTTATGATTAATTGTATCTCAGCTTTGATTGAACTAAGCCTCCAAGATAAGTTCCCATCTTTTCATATGACTTGAGTAAGTTTGATGCTCCCCTGCCTTGGTCACTTTAGTTAACCTTTTCAACATCTACTTTAACTCACTACATACATAATTTTAGAGAACACCAATTCTGGAATCCACAAACTGAATAACCACATTTATCTGGCTGTGATTGTTTGGGGCTGTTCTGCAATGACTGTAACTGTGTATTTCCACTCTGTATATTAATTAATCTTTTTTACTGGAACAGCTTTTTAAAAGAACCATATGCATTGTAACCTGCTGGATGTGTTATAGTTAGTTGGTTTAATGATGCTAGTAATCTCTGAATTAAAAATTACATGGATTTTAAGCCATGGCCGTACTTTTCTGGTAATTTCAGTACCTATATCAGTCTCAGAAGAAATATTTTTGCAAGAAAGCCATTCGAAGCTCACAGAGCTCTTAGTGGATTAGGGTTTCTCTCAGGAGCAGGGCTGAATTCACAGTAAAGTCTGTGACACCAACCCGGCTGCTGTGACACACGAGTGACTGGCACGGGGAGTGTTAATGAATATTGGGATGCTGCAAAGGTAACTCCGTGCTGTGGGGGAACGGGCTGGACTGCAGTGGTGCCGGGCCGGTGCCGCTATCCCGGGCCAGTGTCTCTATCCCGGGCCGGTGTCTCTATCCCGGGCCGGTGTCTCTATCCCGGGCCGGTGTCGCTGTCCCGGGCCGGTGTCGCTATCCCGGGCCGGTGTCGCTGTCCCGGGCCGGTGTCTCTATCCCGGGCCGGTGTCGCTGTCCCGGGCCGGTGTCGCTATCCCGGGGCGGTCCCGTTGTCCCGGGGCGGTCCCGTTGCCCCTGAGCCGCGCCCGCCCCGCCCCGGGCCCGCAGCCGGCAGCGATGGGGCCGCGCTGGGCGCTGCTCCCGCAGCTGATGCTGCTTCTGATCCCGGCGATGCTCCCGGCTCTGATCCCAGTTTTGATCCCGGCGCTGATCCCGGCGCTGGCCGATGCCGCGGCCGAGCGGGTGAGCGGGACCGGGCAGGGCAGGGGCTGGGTCAGGGGCAGGGACAGGAGCAAGAGCAGGGGCATGGACAGAAACAGGAGCAGGGCAAGGATGGGGACAGCAGGGACAGGGATATGGGCTAGGACAGGGACAGGAGCAGGGACAGAGGCTGGGACAGGAGCAGGGACAGGGACGGGGGCGCTGCTCCAGAGATCCTAGGAGCGCTGCAAAGCGGGAGCGCAGAGGGGGAAACGCGGGCAGGCATCGCCTGGTGATGCCACTCTGGAGCTGTGCACACTCTGTGTGTGCGGTCCAACTTGTCGCCTGCCTGTCCTTTGTCATTTGTCCCTTGTCACCTGTCCGTCCCTTGTCACCTCTGTGCCCCTGGGCTTGCGTTCGATTCACCGTGATCTCTACAGCAACCTCAAGTCCCGCTCTTAAAACTTCAAAGCTCAGCCTTTGTTGATGTTGTTGTTACTTCTTGGCTTCCCAAAGGAATGACTAACCGTTTTTCCTGGATTTTCATCGGAAATAGCTTGATTTTGCAGGCTTATTTGAATATTTGTAAAAGTCGTGGTGAGTGTCCTGGCAAGTGCAGAGTGTAAACCTGTATCTGTATGACACTGTTAACACAGGAAGAGCTTGCTGTGCTCCGTTGGTTCCCTAGAACTCTTCCCTATTTAAATAGAAAAGCCTTTTAATTTACAGCGAAGATCTGATGTGCTGCAGCTGTTTCTGCTGCCCTTACTGCAGTGGTGACTGTCCTATTCCATATCCAGCTGTATCACTCTCTGCAATGAGGGTTTGTAACTGTGTCAGCCAAAGAGCTCAATGGGATCTGCTTGCCTTCCACTCCGTTTTCTGTACTGGTGTATTGATAGCACTTCTCTGTCTGATTTTAAAATGTTCAGGATTGTGAAGATAAATATGGAAATGTTGCTGAGATGTCCAGGTCACTGCGTTTTCATGGGGTATTTATGTTATTTACATGTTTATTTAAACATAGGAATTCAGGCTGGATAAGACAAAGGTTCAGTGAAATCAGGTGAGGATGTCAGAATGTGTATTGAATATGAATTACACAATGATCTTTTAAGGAGTACTGGGTGCTACAGTGAGCTGATAATATATTAAAATAATTATTTTAACTGTTGCTCACTATTTTTAAATTCAGCTCTGGTTTTAAGGTGAGAGTGTTTTGAGCCTGATTTACTGGACACTTTGCAGTGATTAGGATAAAGCAGATAGAGAAGGGAGTCTCAGAATTGTAGCAGAATTTAAATTTGTCATGCTTCATGCTGAACAAGGGGCTTTGGTTCAAAAGGAATTAGCTCTTCTCTCACTCTAAATATGACTGAAACATAACAATGGAAATAATGACAGAAACTTTCAGCATCACTTTTTGCACTGTTACAAAATAAGGAAAAGCCTATGTGTAAAGTTAGAAGAGCAAATACAGTAGTTTCAGAAATACCACATCTGCCACAGAGCTGGGGGAAAAAAAAGCCTGTTTTATCAGTTTTTAACAGTGATTTGTTAAAGAAAACTTATTTTATTTTTGAGGGAGACAAACTGGCAAGGCAGTAGTTCTTAAGTGACACTACTTCTTGAGTTTTTTCTCATTCATCTGGAAGTCTCTGAAAGTTCCCAGCCTCAGTCTCTGTGTTAGACACAGGAAATGAACATTATTTTTGCCATTTTGAACAACTGAGTCAGGGTTATCAGAAACAGTCTGAAGTTTTCAAACAGAAAAGGTGGTGAAATGTGCATGTTTTCCCAAATACATATATAATAAAATATACCTTGTCCTCCTACAAACTTGGACTTCTATAATTTTTGTGTGTTGTGAGCAGTTTCCATATTCTGTACATCCCCCTGCTTTCCCATTCTAGGAAGATGTTTTCATATTCTGGTGGTGAGTGGCAATTAAGTAGAATTCCTGGCAGTAAGCAGAGACAGTTTTTTTCAGGGAGCAGGTTTCAAACTGTAAATCTGTTGGTGTGTGGCTGTGCAAGGACTCCTGCTTTACAGAAGTAAAGTGCAATACAGGATGGGAGAATAATTCATATAATGGACCATAATCTTTGAGAGAGATGTGCAGGACAGCAGCTTTGAAAGAAACTTTGTAGTTTGAGTAAAGCTGGCACAGCCTGATACATCTCCAGCTGATTTGGGAGATGCTGTTACCTGGGAACTAAACTTCAACAGATTTTTTTTTTAAATGAGAAGGTTAAATATTTTAGACAGAATTCTGTTTTTTCCTGTCTCCAGTAGATCTGGCAGCTCAGCAAATAGTGCTCTGTGCCTCAAGTCCTTTCCACAGAAACAGATTTTACACCAGAGACCTCAGTGACTTCATTGTGGTTTCACATTCGTGACGAACATGGTACATACGTAGATCCTCCTCAGACTCCTCTGATTGACAGCTTAAGTTTGAATGCAAATGTATGAAAAGGAGAAAAATGGAAATATTAGCTTGTGAGTTAGGATTAAAATACATGCTTAAATATCTTTGTTTGAGTGAAAATGAATGTTATATGAACGGATTTACTAAAATGTTTTAATTATTTAAGATACTTAAATTTAATTACACATAAAGTCCTTTCAGTTGGTGTGGAGATTGCTGTTAGCCCACTCCTCTCCAGGGACCAGTTAGGTCACCTGTACAGGGATCTGTGTAGTACAAACAGAAAAATGATCCAAACAATGCAGGAACTCCAGAGAGTCTGGAGTTATTTTGACTTTGTGTATGTAACTTCTTAGTTATTGCTTAATGCAGAGGCATTGCAAAAATCTCCTAAGGACTTATGAAATCAAAGGCAAGCATAGTTTACCCATTTCTATGCCAAAATGTATTGCTCAATTTGATGTGCATAGAGCTAGACTAAATTTCATGTTTAAGAATCTTTGGGCCTCCACTGATAGACAGATGAGGCATTTTATTTCTTCTTGTACCTTAACCTTGTCAAATTAAATGAAGTCTTCCAAAGTCTTAATTTTGTCCATATAAATTTCTTTTAAATCAGCTGTCATTAGACATTGCTACCTAAACTGAGAAGCTCTGAGGCTGTAATGCAAAATGTGCAGCATCAGGTTAGTTCCCCTTCAAACAATCTGCTTACAGAACACTGAATCACAGTAAAAACAGGATAAAATAAGGACTTGTGAGAGATACAAAATGCAAAGGTTGTGAAATAGAATCTGGCCTCTGCTCATCAGTCTTTCAGCCCAAAGTAGCCAATGGATATGGATGCCAGACAGGAATCTTATGTGGCCCAACTTGGACTTAGGATTGGCAACATTGCTAGAAAATTGGAGTCTTGTAGGGAAGAAATCCCAAAGAGTTTTAAAAATATAAAAAGGCCTGCACTTCCTCTGACAGAATTAACAGCTTTGATTAAACTAGTTTATTCTGAGACTAGCTACTAAAAGAATTGAATTCTTCTAGGGAAAACCAAGCTGAGCATGTGTGTGTGAATTGTATCTAAGCCAGTCACAACTCCCTTTTTGTTTCCCATAATGTTCTTTGAGGACATTTGGGAAGAAATTGTCAATTTTAAGTCACTGAGAGCCACAGCTCATCAGATAAAATTTCAGGGAGATTGTATCAGACAGCAGAGAGATCCTTCCAAGCACAACTTCAGAGAAGCAGGTGTGAACCCAGCAACCGACAGGTTTTCCTGTGTCTGCAGGATTTACAACAGACAGTGAAGACT